GGATGAGAACTGAGAAAAAGTTTATATTTGACAATTAATACATCATTGGTAAATTGAGAACAGTTTCACTTCAGGGATTCAGTTGGAAGTCAGATTGCAAAGGATTGAGGAGTGAGAGAAGGGTAAGTTGAGACACTGAGCATAGATGGATTTTTCTAGAAGTTTGGTTGTAGTGGAAGGTAAGAGATATAGGCTGGTATAGCATAGAGAGGTGTGGAGAAGGATGGAGGAGATTTGGGCATGTTTGTAGGCTAAGGAAGGAAATGATGGTTAGATAGAAAGGGGATAATTGTTGGGGCAATATATTGTATAAGATGAGATGGGATGGGATCAAGGGTACATGTTGAGGGGTTAGCCTTGGCAAGAATGTCACAGCTTCATTGGAGACTAGAGTAAAGTAGGAGAGAATAAGGGATTGTGTCCAGGGGATTTGAGATGTAGAGGAAGAGAGAAGAGGGAGCTTGTGGTAAATGGTCTCTTTATTTTCTCAGTAAAGCATAAGGTAAGGGCCGCTGCTGAGAGCACTTGGGCAGGGGATGGTGTGGAAAGCTTGAGTAGAAAAGAAGTTTGGAATAGCTTCTGTGGGAATCATAGGCTCACATATCTAGAGCTGGAAGGGACCATCTACTGTAACTCCCCTATTTTACAGATAAGGAATAAGGAATCTTAGGGCCTGGAAAGTTAAGACCACATAATTAGAAATTTTATGGGAAGGACTTGACCAAAGCTGGCTCTCTAGCCACTATCCTATACTGCCTTTTGTGTTCCATACACCCCAAAATTCTTTAGTAGAACTCCCACCAGCCATCAGTCAATAAGCATTTATTGAGTGCTTAATATTTATCAGTAGATAAGAGACATATGGTCACTGTCTGTCTGGTCCTTAAGTGTCTAATTTGCATTTAAGGTTAGACTGACAGAGGTAGCAAGCCTAAATGTGAGCAGTTGTTCTGAAAAGCACTGGAGGACAGGGTTTGTCAAACCTGCCACCTTTGGCTTCTGCACTGAGCCCATCCTAGTTTGAAACTGTAAAAATCATTAAGACTACTCTTCTAATGCTATTTCTTGTAATATGAGGAGGATGCTACAGGAGGCTTCTGCATTAGGATTAGGAGGACTTACCCACAGGCAGGAAATGTTCATTGGGGCACAAGATCAGCCCCAAGTGAACTTAAGGTAGTGCAGATGCTTTCCGTGTCAACTCACAGCACTTTATTGAAGGGATTTCTTATGTTCTAATGAGAACATATTCAGAGTTTGTATATGAGTAGGAAGAAAATGTATAGTTATCCTCTGGGTGATCAGTCTTTAAGGAAGGAAGCTACTGCCTAAGGTGATTTTTAAGTTAGAGATATCATTGATGGGAGAAACTATTGAGCTGGAGAGAATAACAACAATCCAATACTACTGCCACTCTGAAAGAAGTCTCTGCCCACATCATCCAGTTGCATGGCATGTCTTAAAATGCTGCTTAGCTTTCTAACAATTTGTTTGGAGTACTGACCATGCAGCACTACCTTTAAACACATCATGATAAGAATATAGAACATAGAACACCTTTGGGAAACAATACAGATCTCAAGACATGAGAATATTGGAAATGCAAAAATGGAGTAATATAGTATTTAGAGGAAGTTATTGGCACCAACACTATTGAACTATGGTTATTGGTTGCCATCCTTGGTGATTTTGCAATATAGAAGAATCTGCACAATACACAGGAAAGTGAATTTTCATCAACCAATGAAGAGTTCTGCACAGCACCTCTGAAATTCAGAGAGTGGGGGTGGAGGGCAGCGTTGAATGCTCTAATAGTAGTACCTGAGTTCAACTAGCAACCCCCCACCTCCTTTACCTTTAGAATTCATGGGGTTTGGGAACAAAAGTATCAAAGGGGTAGACCCATCCTATTAGTGAGATAGTAACTGCAATTTTAGTATGCCCACTCCCATGACAATAGGGTCCTGGATCTACCAGCCTCCAGCGAAGGGGCAACACTCTTAGGAAATAAAGTAAGTGCACCTCTAACTGAAAGGTGGCTGCTGCCAGGACATTTGGAGTAGCTGAATTCTTGCTCCAGAATTAGCAGGGGACACACATTAAGTAACGTTGAGCCTGACTACCAAGGCTAAGTGTGACCATATATAATGGTAGCCATCAGAGCTTTAGCTGGGGTCCAGAGATCTCCTGGCCAGGTTACTACTGTCGCCACTCCTATTGGCGTATCTTATAGAGTATGGGTCTCCCCTCTTGTGAAGGAGTCATTCTTTTTGCCCTATTGTTCTTTGTCTTTCTGTTATGTATGATTCTTATAGGTACCTCTAGAGACCTCTACCACTAGGCGATTCACTTACGTGACAACTCCTGGTCATTTGTTGGCAAATAGAGAAAAAGGCATACCCTTTTTGGGTTGGTGATCCAAGCCCTTTGCACAGGCGAAGAGAATACGCTGACAAGGATGCCGGCCATACGGCTTGAGCTAGACCTCAGAAAAGGACATTGGATTCAAGATAAGCCTCGTTAGATAATTCACTTCCCCCCTCCCCTTACCAAATAAACTGCTCCTTTGTGGTTTGGCTTAAAACTCTTCACAGTTAATCTACCTCCACAGTGGCCCAGTGGGTAGAATGCTGCTCTTTGAGTCAGGAAGACCTAAATTTGAATCCTGTATCAGACCTTGGTAGCTATATGACCCGGGGCAGGTAAACTAAGCTTTCTGAACCTCAGGAAAATGGGTGTATTAGCACCGACTTCACACGGTTGTTTAGAAGAATTGTGTGAAATAAAATGTAAAGTGTTTTGTAAACCTTAAGTGCTCTATAAATGCTAGCTATTGTTATGATCTTGTTAGCTTTCTTGCTGTTTCTCTTGCCTGATGCTCCGTCTCCTATCCATGCCTTTATGCTGTCTGACCCCACCCTCCATGCCTGGAATAGACTATCTCTCACCTCTTCAGATCCTGGCTTTCCTTCAACACTTAGCTTAAGCATCATCTACAGGTGTCTTGTCCTTACCCTCCCTTCCCTCACGGGAGTACCTTCCCCTCCAAGGTTATGTTGTATCTGCTTGTGTATAGCTCTCTATGTACATATTGTTTTTCCTGTTAGAATATCAGCTTCTTGAGGGCTTGGACTGTTTTGCTTTTGTCTTTGTATTTTCAGTAAAACATAGTGGCACAAAGTAGGTGCTTAATAAATGCTTGTTGATTGATGAATTATGAGATAGAGCTGGCAGATTTTCACGTTATTTGCCCTGTTGTGCATCGTGTGCTTTGCCCTCTTATTGTGCACCTGAATCACTTACACAATGATGTATTTATTGAAGCTTAATGTTGACTGCCTTTTAAAACTCACTTGTAATCGGGCCATTCATTCGGTACTATTTATGCTGAATTTTGACGCTTCATGCATAGAAGGCTCTAAGCCCTGTTTTTTTCTAGGTTGTTACAACTAGATCCATTAGCCCCAAACAGTGCTCATTGGTTCCTAGTTTGGCAAATACTCTAGTGATAGCTAAGTCATTATATATCTCAGTGGTCAGGGTTTCTGAAACACCAGGATTAATTCTATGGGTAGGAAATACGCATGAGTGTGGGAAAAGATTCGAAGTTAGGCTTCTACAACAGAACAAGGGAATTCTGAGAAGGACTTCTAAGATCTTGTGGATAGGCCCTCAACCAATTAGAAAGTGCCCCAAACATTCTGCAGACAACTAGTTCCTTAAGAAAGAGCCCTGGAGGCTAAACTGGTTGCAACCTGTCGAGGTCAAGGACAAGGCAAAGGCTTTTCTCCACTGCACTTGCTTAATAAGCTTATTGAATATTAACTGACACACCCCAAGGGTAGAGATAGTCACCATTTTTCAACATAGGATGCATGAACTGGAGGAGCTAACATGACAAGGAAGAACATGGAGAACATGGGATGGGTGGTTCAGGAAGAGTGTAACTCAGATGAGCTGGTCCAATCACGGCTCAGCTGGGAGGAGTATGGATTTAATAACCATTTAAAAGTTGATTCTACCTCTGTACCAGTGTGCATGTGCCACTAGGGTGCAGTGTGCCCGCTTCTCAAGAGAAGTGTAATAAAGGCTTTCCTTCACACACTCCTGTAGTAGATTTTTGTTTCAGATTTTTCTAACAATGAGCATGGTTAATATCTATGTGTGTATGTGTCTATCTCTCCATATAGACATATACACATATATGTATACATATATGTATGACATATGTATATTGCATATGTGCACATATAATACATGCACATGTATGTTGTAGTGATGCGTCACTGAATTTGGAACACTGAATTTTAAGTCATAAGATCTGAGTTCATTTACCACTTCTATGATCTTCCAAAGGAGGAGAGGGACTGGGGAGAGCTGTCTAAACTAGATGGGGATGCAAGAGTAGGGAATGGTAGCAGTGGATAGGGTTTTCATCTCCTTTAAATGCAGCTATGAGGGAAAAAGGAGTTGGAATTTGCTATCTGTGAGATCTGGGAAGTATCATTTGACCAGAGCCTCACTCCAGGTATTTGTGGTGACAGAGGTTAGTATCAGTCTGTTTCCTCTCCAAACACCAGGGAGTAGTAGATCCTTAACGTTATATTTGTAATATTTTAAAAAGTATGGTGTGATATAATTAAATATAACTAAATGGAGTAATAATAATAACTAACATTCATATAATGCCTACTATGTGCCGAGCCCTGTGCTAAGTGCTTTGCAAGTCTTACCTCATTTCGTCTTTACAACAACTCTGGGAGATAAGTGCTATTATTATCTCTATTTTACAGATGATGAAACAGGCAAACAGGGGTTAAATGACTTGCTCAGGGTTGCAGAGGTAGTAAGCATCTGGGACCAGATTTGAACCCAGCTCTTCCTGACTCTTAAGTCTGGCACTCTGTCCACTGTGCCACCTAGCTACCTCTCACCACCTCCCTGCCTCTACATATGGAGACTGAAATAAAAGTCACATTTCTTCATTAACTTTCTTTCAGACAGAAGCAGAAGATATGACTTCATTCTTGTTATCATGTACATCACTTGCAAAACAGCTTGAAGAAGCAGTTAAAGAAGAACAACAGGTATTTATTCTGTGTAAATTACAAAGAATGAAAACATTTAAAGTTTGCTTTACAATGATCCATCTTCCATTTAGCTACTGAGGTGACTTTTCTAAAGCATAATTCTGACCATGTCATCAACCTGTTCAATGAAGTTCAGTGACTTCCTGTTACCTCTAGGTTCTAATTTAAACTACTCTGTTTGGCATTAAAAGATCTTCATAACATGGTCCCTTCCCATTTGTCTAGTATTCTTCTACCAGAATCCCCTCCTCAAACTCTCCTATCCAGCTACACTGGCCTATTTGAAGTTACTCAAGCACGACCCTCCAGTCCCTGTTTTCTTACATTTCCATGACTGGAATGCTCAGCCCTTTCACCTCGGCCCCTTAGATTCCCTGACTTCATTCAAGACTCGATTAAAGTTTCTTTTGTTGGTGACCTTTCCTGGTTCCTCAAGAAGCTCATGCCTTCCTCTTTCAGATTACTTTCCATCTACTCTCTCTATCTCATAATACCAACATGTTGTTTTCTCCATTAAAATGTATGTAGGCAGGGACTTTTCCTTACTTTCCTTTGTATCCCAAGGCTTAGTCCTGTGCCTAGCACATAGCAAGCACTTAACAGATGATTGTTGACTGCCTGACTGATTCAGGAACTCCAGTGTAAGAGATTCCTAGTCTAATGGAGGAGGAAGGGAATTGAAAATGCTTACGGATAAGTAGAATACAAAGTAGAAAGTGCCATGTCCAAATGGGAGGTCATCTGGTGGAGTTAGGACAAGGTGGTACACAAGTTGACCCTGGAAGGAAGAAACAGATAGAAACAGTTGCTATGGGATTGTGTTGTAGGCGTGGTTGATAGGGTCAATCTGGAAGTTTGGTTAAAAGAGTCAAACAAGCTAGGTGATACACATTTACATGTTGTTTATTCCCTTAAGCTAGCAGAATACATGTATACATGGGAGCCAGAAAATAATTGTGACTCACATATAAGTAAGTTGAAGAAGACCTTTTATACACTTAGAGAAATCCTGACTTAGGATGTCTGTGTCACCTAAAATTATAGTCTCCATATAGGTTTAACCATAGCATGAGAAAGGAATTTTCTTAATTGGATAGGTTGTAAATACAGTAAGATAGGAGAAGTGTTAAAGTGTCACTTGAAATTATAGATCCAGGATATCTGTGTTTCTTCTATCATTAGTATGACATGATATAACATAGCACATGTCCATAAAATACAAGATAAGAAAAGTCCCATTATTCAAGATAATGTCTGGTTCAAGGTGCCTTGTCCTTGGTAGTCATAAATGGAAGAATGCTCCTGGTCAGCTTCATCTGGCCTTGGAGTTCCTGACACAGGAAGGGGCATTTTGAGTTCACTCAGAGAACAAACGAAAGCATGTCTGTCATGCCACAACACGCAGAGCATTATGGTAGGTTAAGTTCAGAGTGGGTCAAAATGTCTCTCCTGATTGGCCAATCCTGGTTTTGGGCCTTTCTTAGGTCTTGGGGAGGAGGCCACAATAGCTAATGAAGATGCAAGAATGCAGGATAGGGTAGGGTGAGATGGCAGAAAAGCTGGTAGTCCAATTTGCCTGGAGTAGAGACTATTAAATGCAGGTTTAAGACAGATAACACAGGGAACATAACTGCCAGAATGAAGAGTTTGTATTTGTCCCATACTCAGTGGAGAGCCATCGGAAGTTTTTGAATAGGTAAGTGATATGGTTAAAATGTTTATTATTTGGAACATTATTTTGGCAGCCATATGAAGAATGAATTAGAGAGGAAAAGTACAATATAGTAGAAAAAGTGCTAGATTTTGGTCCAGACTACCTGAGTTCTAATTTTAGCTTTTCATTGGATAGAACAGAGAACCTGGCGTCTGGAAGCCTGAGTTCACATTCAGCCTCAGATCCTTATTGGCTTTGTGATACTGGGCAGGTCACTTAACCCTTACTGCCTCAGTTTTCTTATCTATAAAATGGTGATAATAATGGCACCTTCTAGGCTTTTATGAAAGTCAAATAAGATAATATTTAGAAATAACTTTGCAAATATTAAAGTGCTTTATAACAACTGTTATTATTATGAAAACTAGATGTAAAATCACATTGTCATGACAAAATAGCTTTTCACCTAACAGAGAAATGCTATAGACTTGAAATAAATACATATCATATATTTTGCATTTTGAAGGTTGGTGTTGTAATCATATTTATTGACCATATGCTTTTATTTTCCAGATATTGGAATCTGTTTTTAAGGTAATTACCTGAATTGTTGCTGGCATTTACAAAACTCGTACAAAACATTTATATAACTATATTTGTAAAAAAAAACCCACAAAGGTAAGGATATAAAATAGAATTAAATATGAATAAATGGCTAAACAAGTATTTAGTACCTACTGTATACCTCCTGGTGGTAGGCAGGCACTGGGAATAGAAATTAAAACGTGATTTGATTGCTGTGTGTAGTGTTAGATGGAGAGGTGCAGAAGGAGCAGGGGTGGAAGGTTAGTGTAGTAGGACATATAATAAAATGCTTCTGCTGAGTGGACCCTTTTCTGACTAGATGGGTAAGAGTGACCGAGGACAGCTAGGTATAGTGTGGATTAAATCACTCACCTGTGAGTGGGCTGGGGGGAACTTGATTTCTGGAGGTCTGGACCAGGAGAGTTGTTATTCCTGGTGGGAAGGCTCTTACAACAAAAAGGAGATTATCAAACTTTTCTCTGTATATATGTATATGAAAGAATGTTATCAAATTTTCATATTTATATGTGTGTATCTTTACTCATCTTGATATTTTGTTTCAAGACAAAATTTTAACATGTGAGTAATTAATATTCTTTTTTTCCCTTAAAGTGGTTTCAAAAAGAGGTCTATCATGTAGAAGAGGTAAATATAATAACTTTAAATGATTAAGATGATATTTGGTCTAACTTTTGAACACTAAAAATCCTGGGTATATGGACAGCCCTTAACCGAATTTAATATAATCAGTTAACATTTTTTGAATACTTTTTGGTCATATGTTACTGTTGCATAGTAACATTTAAAAAGATCTTTGAGTGGATTTTCTGCTCTGGAAGCATTCACTAACAAGACATGTTCCTCCTTTCATCTATGCATATTAATTAGCAATGTGAACAATATTTCCTACCATACTTCTTTCCCAATGTTTTTGAGATATTTGTAGAAATGAAATGTAATGTTTATTTATGATTGTATATGTACCATAGAAGAGCCCATTTATTAATAAAAGCTTTTTTAATAGTTAATGTTATAGGGAAAATACTTTTAAAAACTGGGAAATATTTAAAAAAAGTTTCTCTCCCTTGACCCCTGGCCTCTGTGGGATCAGAGAGAAAATAAATTATTACAAAACATAGATAGGACGTTGTTTACTTACTTCCTCTAGGAGCTTGTAGTCCAGTTCGGTAAAGTATTTCGTGTAGTTAACGATGAAATAACAAATAAATATATTTGAGATATATAATTTAAATGTTCTCAGTAGGTTGTTGATTCTTTTGAGAGTGAGTGTTCAGCTCTGTAAGGTAGAAAGGGATATATGTGAGAGATGCTGTGAGGGTAGAAATGACAAGATTTAGCAACTGATTGGATATGTAAGGTGAGTAAGAGTGAGGAGCTGAGGATGGTAATGAGGATGCAAACCTCAGTGATTGGGAGGCTGCCATCAACAATAATAGGGAAAATCAGAAAAAGAGAGGTTGGGAGTTGGAGGAAGAGAAAATAATTCTGTATTGGACACGTTGAATTTGAGATGCCTTTTGGACATCCAGTTCAAATGTCTGATGGGCATCTGTTGATGCAGGAGCTGGAGAAAGAAACTAGGGCTGTGTGTGTACATATATATATATATATATATATATATATATCTGGGAATCATATATTTAGAGATGACAATTTAATCTAGGACAGCCAATGACATCATCAAGTGAGAGAGCAGAGGTTTACACAAGAAGAGGACCAAGGACAGAACCTTGGGCAACATCCACAATTAGTGGGGAGAACTTGGATGAAGACCCAGCAAAGAAGCCTGAGAAGGAACAGTTGTACACACAGTCTGTGTTTTCTATTAATTTCATCAACTTCTTGGCTCATCCTTCATAATGTGTTGACTACTGCCATATCCATGCCAGATGAGTGTGAGGACCAGAAGAGAGCAATATCATGGCAAAAACAAAAAAGAGAGCATCCAGGAGGGGAGGCAGCCAACATTGTCAAATACTCCACAGAAGTCAAGTTGGGTAAGGCCTGAGAAAAGGTCATGAGAGGAAGAAATTATTGATAATTTTGGAGAGAGCGGTTTTGCCTGAATGATGACGTCAGAAGCCAGATTGCAGAGGATTTAGAAGAGAATGAAAGGAGAGTGTCTAGAAGCATCAAGTTCAGATAGCTTTTTCATTCTTTTTAAAAGAAATTATTTGTTTTTATTCTGAACTTAACAAACTTCAAATAAAATGAGTATTTCCACATACAGATTAGGCTATGAGGCAAATGATGGTCAACAAATCAGGGCTGGGGTTCTCCAGCCTTGCTCTGTGGGTCTGCCTCTAGGGATCCTTATTAGCTTTTTGGAATGATGACTGTCAGATGGATGAGGGATGATTTGGCATGACCCAAGGCATCTGATCACTTTCAGTGGCTTATGTACAGGCTATCCCGCTTTAGGTTGCCAGAGTGAAGAGATTCTCAAAAAGAATTTTGGGTAAGCGAATTTATTACCACTTACCAATACTTTAATTTGCTCTTCATTATTACTATTACATTAGTTATGTAAGTATTGTTAGGAAAATATCTAGTATAGAAACTAAAGTTTGATTTAGCAATCACTTGATCTTATTGTCATTTTCCTTTTTAAAATGTCTAATAACAATCTTAGTTTTAAACTTAGTAGTAGCTCTTATTGCACATTTGCTTACAAGTTTATAAAATAATTACTTTACCATTTGGCTGTCACTACAGGTATGAATAGTATTCCAAGAATACTTTTGTTATGGTTAATAAAATATTTGGGGGGAGAGCCCCAGGTGTAGTAACTTTAAAGTATCTGATTGAAATTTTATTATTTTAGTTAGTAAAAGAACAAAATGTTCCAGACTGGGAGCTTCCTTTGCCAGATAAAGCAGTATCTTCAAGTATTTTCCAAGTGATAGAACGTTTGCAAAAACTTGAACAATTAAGGAATCGCCTTAGTACAGTGCCGACGGCCACCCGAAGAGCTGTAGCTGCGAAACATAAGCTGTAAGTGAGTTGTAAATATCATTACATTAGGGCCATGAAGAAGAGAGATGCAGTTAGTACTGCATTTGGGAATCTGAAGGTCAATTAGATCAGTTATAACACATGATCAGCTTGCCATATCTTCTCTATCTATTCAGAGTTGCTTCTATGTGAAACTTTCAGAACTTGAGCATGCCTCCCACCCCAACATCTATCTATCGCCTAACTATCATCGCTTAGTTTTTCCGCTCTTGTTTCTGGGCTGTAAGAGTTGATAGAAAGTAGTCACATAACTATATTGATGGGTTCCACCACAAGTTTGTACCATCTAAGCTCCTGGGGGCTTTCGCTCTCCTACTTTTTTAGTCATCTCATTTGTTCAGCAAGTATTTATTGAGTGCCTATGATGTATAAGATGCTCTGGATGTTATAAATAGGAATAAGACATAGATCCAGCATTTACAGAGCTTACTACTCTAGTAGGACAGGTAAGACATATACATCTTTGAATCCTGTCTCTGTGCCCATGGACCACTATTACCTCTCTCTGGATCTGTTTCTTCCTTTATAAAATGAAGGGATCGGGTTAAATGATCAGCAAGGTCCTCCCCATCTCTCTTTACTAGACTATAAATGATCACAGCACCAGGTAGAGTGTACCAGTGCAGGCCCAAAAGAGGTGCAAAAAAACCCAGTTAGTGTTTAGAAGAGGCAGAGACTGTTTCTGTTTGGGAGATGGAGGTGGAGTGAGGAGGGAGGATTAGAGAAGACACCTCGAAGGAGATGGCTTTGAAAATGGAGTTGCTTATTAAATTCCCTGCAGTGATTGTTCTTTAACTTTTTCATTGCTACTTACGATCCTTATCCTACCCTAACTTTATGTCCTCCTTTAAGGAGATGGCCTCATTGTCTTCCCTTGAACACCATCCCTTGCAATAGGAGACAAGAAAGCCTCAGAACCATACTCTTCAATAAAATTTTTAACTGTCTAGGGCTGGTTTTCAACAAAAATTGTCACTCCTAGCAATTTGACTATTCAGAAAAGTTACTCAGCTCTTTCTAGTGTTCACTGATAGATACAGACTCATACTTAAATTAGGGATCCCAGAGACTAAAAGGATGGTATTCCCTAGATCATGCATTTGTTTGAGGATCTTGACCATGATATTTCAATTTTTTCCCCCTAGATCAGCCCCTCTTAACAAAACTGAGAGAGATGACCAGGACATGTCACTAACTTAGGAGCACATATGATGATTTTTCTTATTGGCTCTGGCTAACTGTCTCCAGTGGAGAGTGACTGCTACTGAGACAGTGCTTCAGCTGTGCAACTAGCATGGTAACTCTCTGCTGTGTTCCTGAATCTTCACATCTTAAGTCTGTCTACATTGACAGTCCACTTCACTGTGAACATGTGGAGAAATCAGCTTTCATTGAGTGTCACTGAGTATTTACTTCCTCTCTAGGCATGAGGTTTTCATCACGCTGCTGACATACAACCTACTTTACTGAAGCTCAAGCTGTCTTTTCATCTATCCATTCCTCCTCTTTCTGTTTCAAAGGAAGGTGTATCCTTACTTACCAAGGCTAATACTTCAATTTGTACCCTTGATTCTATTACTTTCTGCCTCCAAGAACTAGTTTCATCAGTTATCTCCTACTTTTTGTGATTTCAGTTCCTAGTTCTCCACTGGCTCTTTACCCTTCAGCTTACAAACATTTTGAAATCTCTGCTAGTTTAAAATAAACCTTTACTTGATCCTACTATTTCATTCTGTCCCTCCCTTTGCTTTTACCACCAATTTTTTTGAAAGAGGAATCTAGGGCAGCTAGGTGGTATAGTGGATAGAGCTCTGGCCTTGGAATCAGGAGGACCTGAGTTCATAATCCGGCCTCAGACACATGACACTTACTGGCTGTGTGACCCTGGGCAAGTCACTGAACCCCAATTGCCTCACCAAAAGGCAAAAATGTACCTGATATTCGTGCGTTGTTTAGCTCTCACTTCAGTTTGATAGCTTTTTTTTTTCACTCTTTATCCTCCTTGTCCTTTCTGCAGACTTTGACACTGTTGATCATTTCTGTCTCTTGGATATCCTTTTCTCCTTTAGAATTCATGGTACTCCTTCATCCTGGTTCTTCTCCTATGTGACTCCTTCTTTGTCTCCTTTTCTCTTTCATCATTCATCTCCTGGCTTTCCCTCCTAATCCTCTTTAAGTGTGAATTTGCTTATCACATAGGAGACATTCACTAAATGTCTTTTGAAGTGATGTTAAGGAAACAAGAGAATTTGCCTATCCAAACACACTCCTGATAACTTTTCTGTACAGTTCAATTTAAGTATTCTGTCTGGCTTAACTTAGTTAAAACTCTTGACTTCTGAGATTCTTACCCTTGCTTACTGAGAATTTGTGTTTTAATTTCTTTTTGTCTTCTAAGTGCTTGCGCCAGCAGTGTCCTTTTCCTTTCTTTTTGACCCCCACCTACTATTTTCATGTTTACTCTTACTTGTTCCATCAAGTTTGGCACACATCTATGTACTGCTCATTATTATTAACTTTCCATGCGTATATATTGTTTTCCGAGTGAGATTATAAGTTCTTTTTGAGGGTAGGAACTATGTACCTTTTTGGTATTCTCCACAGTTCCCAAAAGAAGACTGTGCAAATAGTTTCCACTCAATAAATATTAATTGAATAAATGAATGAATTATTAAATGGTTAGTAATATGTCATTTTCCTGTTCTGTTTCTTCTCTGTCCATCTCTTGATTGGTTATTTATCCATTTAGAATTTACTTTTATAAGCAACTATATTACATCAAACTTACATAAAACATTTCCTTTCCACCACCAAATAATCTATATACACCTGAGGAGGGAGGCTACATATTATAGACTCCCCGCTCAGTAGAAGTTATGAAGGAATGATAAAAAAAAAAAGACTTAACAGGTAGAGCAAATCAATCAATAGATAGATAAGATTTTCTTGATTCTTATTGGCTGGCAACCTCAAACTCCCCTTTTCCATTAATTTACAAAGAACTAGGGGCAAAAGGAGAAAAAAGCATGGGTTGCCTGCATATTTGAATCCTTGATTCATAATATATGAAATTGCCAAGATTTGCTTAATTAAATTTTGAGTTTTAGTTTTGTTTTTTAAGTGTTAATGAAATTATTCCTTGACAAAAAGTTTTCTTTTCCTATTCACTTCACATTTGACATCATTGATTTTGTTTACATTCTTGTTTTTGACTCACAGTTTGGATTGGCCATTTGGCTTTATAGCTCTACTAAGCTTTACTTGTTTCTCATTTGATTATTCTTTTAAAAAAATTACTAACAGAATTCTCGTAAAACATTGTGATTTTTCTTATTTTTGTAATCAGATACCCATAGCACTTCTTAGACTGAACAGCAAGCACAGTTAAATGTAACTTCAACTCTTTAATATTTATGTATTAAATTAGGTTTCATTGTGGTAAACTTTGACAGGGACAGCCAATCAGAAACAGCCCAGATTTATGAAGATGTAAAGAAGATGATTGAAGGTGATGGTTTTTTTCATTATTATTGCTTTTAAAAACATTTTGGATGTTAACTTATAGTAAGAATCATTAGAAAAATAATACTAAAATTATCTAATATGGATTTCTTTTCTTATGATAAGAAGATATTTTTATATAAAATTAGAGTGATAAATTACTGTATAACTTTGTAAAAATAATTACAAGCCCAAATTTATAGACTTATAAAATATTAAAGGTGGATATTTATTTAATTTATTAAATAGTAGAGAAGCATGAATTTTCCTCTGTAATATCTCTGATTGTAAAATTTATTCCTGATCTACCTTAGTCAAATTCTACTGCAACTTTAAGTGAGATTGCCCCTTAAGTTCCCTACTAGAACCAGTCTCATAAACCTCAGAGATCCTTTGACAGCAGATTAGGATGCCATGACAAACTGCACTCACTAAATCACATGACAGATTTCACCTTTCACCTTCAATATAAGTTGATTGAACCCATACTTCATTACTTTAGGAATAAGTGATTTCAGGAGTATCCTATATCCACTATATCCACCAATTCTGATTGTTACCTTTTCGTGCCTTGGTAGAACATCCTTGTGAGTTGCTATGGCCAAAATTTTATCATCCTGTAATCAACCTTGGGATGAGATTTTTTGAACTCAGGTAGGCTGGTTTTCAGATGACAAACATAGCCCATATTGAACACATAGAAATAAGATATGCATTGATCACTTTGGAAATATTTTAGCTTCAACCAAATATGTGAATCTTTTCTAATAATGACTTTGAAAGGATAATTTTAGTTTTAATATAAAATTCCAATGGCATATTCACAGACAAAAATAGGTGAAAGAGTGGCTGCCAACACCCTAGTTCAGCTGCCCACCATTTAGAGGAAAGAAGCAAGCTGACTATCCCTTTTATGATTGGATAGGCAGATGATATCATCTTTGATGATACTGGTTCCCTGTACCTTTTATAACCTTACCTCCCAGTTTACTTAACACTCTGGTCCTCAACTATTCATTTGTTCATGTCCTATGTATTCTATTCCTGCTCTATTTTTATGAATACTATTTTATGCAGAAAAGACTTTTACCTTTGCAACCCTGGGAAATTGTTTTGAATAATCTAAGACTGATCTCTTTTCTGCATATTTGACAATTGTCTTGCTCATGCCTCAGAACAGTTGTTAATCATGAGTGTGGATCTAGGGTTTGTGTGCTGAAAACTTAGGCCTGAACTATTCATACCCCCATCTGGTTAAAAACACCAGGAAGTTTAAACACAACAGAAATTTTTTAAAAGCCTGTAGTGTCTGTTAACTCACTGCCTTGTGTGGCATCCTCTTCTCCTTATCGCTGGTTTTGGGCCACCCAGGTAGTAAAGGATAAAGTAGACTTTTTAGCTACCTGGTCCCAAGAAAGTCTTAGCTATGCTATAATCCTTATGTCAGAGGTTCCCTTTTCATACAAAAGTGTTTTTGGTGGACTTCTTACTTTTCTGGCTCATGGCTGGCATCCAGATAAAGTGGGAACTTACTATCTGACACAACCTAAGGACAGTGCTGTGGATACACAGGGAACTCACCAAGTTGCTTACGCTTTAAAAAGATACAGGCAGAAGATAGAAGCAAAGGCAAGGAATAGCAGATGAATGAAAAAGTGGCACAATCCTGTAAGAACAATGATGACAGGCTCAGAATAAGATTGGCAAAGAAAAAAAGGGTAACAAAAAGATTTTTAAATATTGGGAAAAGAGGATCAAGAAGAGACACGATTGATGCCTGGGGTAGGTGAGATATTGGTAACTGATAACAGAAGAGGTAATACTGTTCAGTTTTATTTTTGCTTCTGTTTTCTCTGACAAAAAGAAAGTCTTTTAGACTGGAAAATATGGAACAGAGTTGGCAATAAGGAGCTGATGCTTAAGAAAATTAGGAAGACAGAGCATATAGCTACCACTTAGAAGTTAAAGGTAGTAGGCTTACATGAACAGATATGCCAGAGTTGTGAAGGAGCTGACAAATATAATTACTGAAACTGCTATCAATGATCTCTGAAAGATCATGACAAGTGGGAAACAAACATCAGTGTTTGAAAAGGGCAAATATGACTTTATTAAAAAAAAGGATGAGGATGGAGTTTATAAACTCTAAGCCAGTGAGTTTGATGTCAAATCTTGGCCCACGTCTAAAACATATTAGGAAAAGGATGGTTAGAGAACATAAGTGCAGCTCATGACCCAGCCCTGTCCTCCTCTGTCCCAGGGACTTAGGTCTAAGGAGCGGTCAAGCATAGACCAGCGAAGGCAATTTGATCACCCCCTTACTTCAAGCATTCTAATGGCTCCTTATTATCTCCAGAACAAATTATAGATTCCACTGCTTGGCGATTGAATCTCTTCACAAACTGGACCCTTCCTACCTCTTCAGTTTTATTATAGATGACTCTTCTCTATATGCTCTTTGGTTCAGCCAAATTGTATGTTTGCTATTACTCACATACAATAGTCTTCCTCCTGTCTCAGAATTTTTACAATCCCTGGTTTCCTTCAAAACGCAGTTCAAATGTTATCTTCTTTATATATTCATTCTTGGTCCTCCCCTAGATGCTGTTACCTTCCTCCAAAGTAATCTTGTGTCTGTATTTGTGTTTTGAATATACTTGGGTTTTTGTGTGTATATATATATGTATATATATGTGTGTGCAGCTTGATATTAGAACCAATTTCCCTGCAAGTAAAGAATACGTTCTGGGATAGGTACATATACTTCTGGGAATCATAGTTCAGGTGGAGAGGTTAGTGTCCTCTTGTCTGGGAGAAATTTTATCGTGAGGTGGGAGTTGGAATTGGAATTGAAAGCAGGGGAGTGTCTTTTTTCCAGTCATGTTAGCAGAATACTAAGCAGTTTGTGTGGTAGTCTTATTAGCAATTTTGGTCAGGAGCAGAGAGGGTGAACATGATTGCAGTGGGATTGGAGAAGTGGACCAAGCTTGATACATATAGACACTGATTGCATCTTGCCTGTGGGGGCTCTAATGAGAGAAGCCACTTCTGATTCCTGGAGATGGCAAGTCTTTCACGCTTGCCTTTGGTACTTTTTGCAGAGGAGTTAGTGATAGTAATTGCTGTGGGAGAGTTGTGAAAGACTTAATCCCTCCTGATTTCTTTGCCTGCAAATGTAGGCATTCCCTCTAAGGCTTCATTTTCCCTTTGCTCTTTGAGTGATTTTAAATTTCTGATTTCACAGTGTTTACTTTTCTAATTTAACCTTTTGACATAAAACTGTCATAAATGTTATGTTATATGTATCTATTATTGATTTAAAATGGAAAGGGCTACAAGGGAGGAGATCGTCAATGGCTGGGACTGATGCGTAGAAAGCAAGATAGAGGTTCCATCCCTCTGTCTAAAATGGTAGAGTTTGTTTTCCTAACTAAAGGCTCCAAACAAAAGAGAGAATCTCAATAATTTTTGATTTATAAATTTTGGTAAATTCCCTGAAAGGCAGAATTTAACTTTACCTGGGGTTTTCTGTCTTAAGGCTAAATAAAGTCTCATACTAGTTTGCCACAGTTTTCTGGTAAGGCATGGAATGTGTGTGCACTGTGTAATTTGCTTCCCATTATTTTCTCCTTAAGCGTGCTCAGGAGAGAGGGATGACAGAGACTGAGAAGTCCTCCCTTCCCACCTTTTGGTAAGAAAAAGAGTTTGAGAGGAGTGACCCCACTCCAAATTCCAAGGGTCACAGTTACTCCCTCACTTATATGGTAGATCTTGCTGGACAGTGCCCTCTGCTGGTTACAAATATATTAGAATATTAGAATAATCTTGAAGGCTGAAGCAATTTCACTTTTGCTTTGTGTCCTTAGTACCTGGCATAGTTCCTGGCACTGAGTTGGTGCTTAACAAATGCTTATTGATAGACTGATGGATTGAACAAGCATAGGAGTCATAAAACACACAAGTAGTTCAGTACACTCATTATACTGTCCCGGAAGGTGGAGATTGTGGGACAACTGAATACATATTTCCTACTCATTTTGGAGCTGCACAATTCACAGAATTATCGTGAAGGGTTGGGAAGGTCCACATCTTCTCTGCTATGGCATAGTTTTGGTCTTCCACCTTCAGACAGTCCTCTTCCTTCCCCAAATATCACACTGTTGAGGAAATCTTCCCTGGGATGACCACACCTGACTCTTGTAGATAGGAATGCTTGAACTCAGGAATTCTTTTCAAGAGGTAACTACCAGCCTGGAAATACCCATTCTCAGGATTGTTATTACCTGACCATTGCTGAGAAAAGTAAATAGAAAGGCAAATGATGCAGACAGGAACCAAAGGTCAGAAACTCCAGTCTCGGCTTCACCCAGGCAATTTTAGGCTTCTTGCCATGTTCCCCTCCCCCTCAAACATCTTAAGGGATGAAGAGGAGAAATTCTTTCCTTCTCCTTCTTTTTACACTCTGCTATGGAAGTCCAGGAAGAGAAAGTTCACAAACTAAAAGAAATGTTATAAACCACAGAATCTGGTAGGTTCTTCTTATCAGAATTCTTTCCCCTCACTCTCAATTGCCAAGCATCTCAGAGGCAGTTCTAGTTACTGAGGATCAATGAGAGGCATTCACAATGTCCTCTAAGCAAAGATTAATAGACAATTCAGGTTTTTTTTTTTAAAGATTTCTGTTTAAAGCTAAGTCAGCAAAATGAAATGACAGTGCAAGAGAGTGGAGAGATGTTAGGTGACCACAATAAAAGTCCATTATGGTAAAGTGTCTCTAAGGTTATAAGAAAGGGTGGGTTGATGAACTTCCTATAGGAAACTGTTCTGTTGTTGCACTAGCCTGTTTGAATTTGTCTAGGTCTGTGGGAGGCTCCCCTTTGCAACAATACCCTGTAATCTGAACAATCTGATTGGAGAGACTCATTAAATTGATCAGAGGAGCCTCTGAACATCACCATGAAGTCTAGAAATAGGAGCAATGATCAAGACCTGTTTATCAAGAACAAG